TGTTAGAGGAGTGATCTATTTGCATTTGTTTATATACCACATGTCCTTCTTTTCAGCGCTGCTTCTTTCCCTTTGTGGGTTTGTTTGGTCATTGTCATTATCATTATACATTGCTAGGATTATGGGAGTTGGATATGAGGTTTTCCGTCTTGGATACAAATTGGATCAGGCCCTGGAATATTGGCAGAATGAATTCTTGTTCTTCGTTATACGCACATGCACTGGTGCAAAATCATATACTTAGTATACCACTCAATCATCTATATATATCGAACCATTATTCCTACAGTTATTATTCGTGTACTCGGACTCATTGTATGTTCGCTTTATTCTTAATTTATCGGTTAAATTGTGGGCGATACTTGATAGACCTTTATCGCTCCGGAGTTAGAGGACGTAGTGGGTCGCTGTCACTCGTGGAAGACACATCACACATGCTACGGAGTACGAAAAAATATTCTGAACTGCACACATTCCAAGGTTCTGTTTAGAGATTTGACAGAAAGTCAAAAGAGGCGGCTACCCGCCTGAGGCGACAAGGCAGCTACAAGATCAATAGATCGACCGTTTCTGCCGGTCAAATATGGCGGCGGGGCAGACGGTAGAAACGGCGGTCAGTGGTTAAGTAGAGGTGATAACTCGATACACTGAGCGACAGCATGATGGGTGATATGATATATGAAATTTGAACTGTTGTAATGGAGTTGTGCCTCACTTGACGATATAATAGTTTCATGCACCGAAGTAATATCTTAGGCTACGATGTGAGAGCTCAGGTACAAGTGGACACCTCAGGCGCCGGTAAGTGATTAACTAATCCATCTGTGATTCGTCAGAAAAAGTGGGCTAGCGCCAGTGTGATCCGTGGGATTTAGCATCAAAACAATCCCTCCGCTGTTTCCCATCAACCACACGAGCGTAGACTGACAAGAAGTCCTGGTCTCGCGTGTCATATCTTCATCAAGCTCTTTTCCCGCTTAGCGCTTATCCCAGTCTTATTTTCTCCTTTAGTGTTTCGATTGATTATTATTCTACCCCACCATCATGGGTGAATCCAGGTTCGACTTTTCTCCTATTCCCCGCCATCTCGCGACCGATATGGCCTTACTGACGCCGATCGCTTTATGATTCAGACAGGAACTGCTCGCATGGCTTAACAACCTGCTGCAGCTGAACCTTACCAAGATTGAGCAATGTGGAACTGGGTATGGTTTGATCGAGATTCTCCCCGACTTTCAAAAGGCCCGCGGGGCGATCTCTTTTGTATGGATCAGCTGGGCTGACCTCTATCTTCCTCTATAGTGCTGCCCTCTGCCAGGTCTTCGACTCGATTTTCAGTATGTAATCACTACAACTTGCGCAATAGTCGAGAGAAACGGGCCCGTACTGAGTGGTGGAATACATACTGACTGGTTTCTCTCTTTGTTCAGTGGATGTTCCCATGTCCCGGGTCAAATTCAACGTGAACACTGAATATGCCTACCTCCAGAACTTCAAGATTCTTCAGAGTATGTGAAGGCGGATTCCAAATCGGCCAATGATCCCCCTTTTAACATATCCAATCATCCAGACGTCTTCGCCCGACACCAGGTCAACAAGCCCATTCCCGTTCAGTCCCTCACAAAGTGCCGCATGCAGGACAACTTGGAGTTCCTCCAGTGGGTTAAGAAATACTGGGACCAGCACTATCCCGGTGGTGAATACGACTCCGTCGGCCGGCGTAAGGCTTCCGGCGCCGTTGGTGCCGCCCCCGCTTCGCGCGCCCCTTCTGCAAGCAGCGCACGCCGTGGGGTGACCCCAACAACCGGCGCCGTCCGTCCCCGAGTGGCCGCGCCCAGTGGAGCGGCCACCGCTGCCCTGCAACAGGAGATCTCCACACAGAAGGAAGCGATCGCGGGACTAGAGAAGGAGCGCGACTTCTACTTCGCCAAGCTACGCGACATTGAGCTGCTGCTCCAGAGCGCCATTGAAGCCGACCCGGAGCTTGAAAAGGAAGAAGACACGCTTGTTAAGCACATCCAGGGCATTCTATACTCGACCGAGGTCCGTTCCCTTGACCTATTCCCTGAGGATTCCCCCAACTGACGCCTATGCGCCCCCCCATTAGGACGGTTTCGAGATCCCTGCCGAAGGAGAGGAGATTCCAGCCGACGAGCTCGAGACTTTCTAAGCGAAAAAATGTGTTCTGGGCCCGTGAGGAGGAAGGCCCGTTACTAAATACCCCCCTTCTATTCTTTCTTGTCTTCCTTCCATTGCGGGTGTCAAATAAGACGAGCTGAGCGCGTAGATATGGAGTCAAATGCATACATCCCATTTTTTCACGGAGTGGTCTGACACCTAGGCTTAAAATAGGTTTATGGAGAATGGGATCGGCGAATGATTGTCCGTTAGCACAACGTAAGTGCTCCATATAGTGGTGCCTCCGTATGTTGTAGTTACTCCGTACACCATGGCACATTATTTTTCCTCGAAAGATTGAATGGACCAAGAGACATTCATTCATATAAAGATATAATTTCCTCACTGATGCACGTCGCCCTTGTCCCTTGCCTATGTATACAGCCATTCGACGGCCAAGCCGATGATAATTAAACCTGCATGGTAGGCTAATCCCAGAACAGCCTAGTGCCCTTGGTCAGAAGCTCATCGGGGCCTCGTCACTTTTTATTCGTCGACTCCCGCGGTACCTGGCGGTACCTGCGTGGAGAGCGACCGGGCATTTGTTTTTTTTTTCTTCTCTTGGGGTTTGTTTTCTTCGTTTTATAAAAAAAAAAAGATCGTCAGAAGTCAATTGCAGATACTATTCCCCGAAATTCAAGGGAAGAAAATAAAAAAGAAGAAAGGATCTGTCGGCCCCCGAGCCTAGTTCGTCACTAACACGGGTCGCCTAGACTAGGCCTCGATAGGGGATTGTTTTCCAGTCTGGGTCTTTTCCTTCATCTTCCCGTTTCGCTTCTCTTTCTTGTTGTGTGTGTTTTACTTTTGGGTCTTTTTTTGCTTGCCATTTCGTGTATATTCATTCCTCTCGACGAAGATCGTGCCAGTGTGCCCCTCAGAGCTGTCGATTTGCATCTGCTTACTCTCGCGGCATATTAATACACTCTATATTGCTCTGGTTTCACCAGATATCCAAAACACAATGGATTAGGACGTGAGACTGCGCTCTTGCTATTTATTCCACTCTTCTCGTCACTCGTTTACTCCAGGTATGTGTTGGTCGTCCTCGGTCTGCTTGCTTACATGGCGTGGGTCCTCAATTGAATCCATCCCATACTAACTCCGCCTAGTCGTCTGTTCGATTGCCATTCCCTCCACGTAACTGTGCGCCATATATCGCGAGATCATCGACCTGCTGTCCATACTGCGTTTTTCTTGTTGATCCACACATCGCTTGGCTACGCTTTGCCAACATCCATTCATTCATACTGTCAGCCGGGTCATTCTTTTCTCGGGACGATCTATCAATCTTTCTACCCCAACTTTGCGCACGCTAGCACGTGTTTTTCTTTCGTTTACTCAAACCTTATCGGTCCCGTTCTTCGCAATACTGCAGATCTCAACCTCTGTGAGGATCATACGTCTTTGGTCTTGCTTGATACTTGCATGTGATTGACAATTGACGACGTGTATGGAAAATTGTCAACATGTCTCATGGTCATTTCCGTCACTCGCGCATCGGCAATCTAATTAGCGCCAGGCGCCGCCTGGAAGCAGAGCTTCATGGACAGGATGCAGGCTCTGATTTACTGGAGGATGATTCCTTTCAAACCCCCATCATCCCCGCATCGGATATCCCCGCGGATGAAGATTGCGACTCGAAAAACTCTATGTGTCTTGAGCATGACATGGACGAATCTGACTCAATATTTGAAAAGCGGGACGAGTCGACCTCCGCCGACCCGACTAGTATCAAAACTGTATTGCAGATAGTCGATGCTAGCTCACAAACCCCTTTTCATTCGACTACTAGTTACTTTCCGACGACGATATCGGGTTCTATTTACGCCACTGACACTCTATCGAGCTCGGATAGCTCGACTGTGAGCGTGATTGCAAGTACGACTGCGAGTCCAAGTTTGACTGCGAGTGCGAGTGCCTCTATAGATTTAGGGCTAACCTCGCCGACGCCTCCTCCTACTACCCAGCCGACATCGGCACTACTATCTGCGACGTCGATTTCAAGCAGCTTCTCGAACTCCACTCAAACATCGTTGACCGCCACAAACTCCACAAGTCAACTTCCATCATCATTAGCATCTGCCTCAGCCACAATCACCAGTTCGCTTACAGGGACTTCGACTCGCCTTCTCACCTCTTCTAGCTCTACACCTTCTGTTACGACAACATCACCCCAGGCGCACAATTATTGGTCATATTCAGGTTCCTCCGGCTCCGGCTCTAGCTCAACTTTCAGCTCCAGCTCCAGCTCCAGCTCCAGCTCCAGCTCCAGCTCCAGCTCCAGCTCCAGCTCCAACTCCACTTCCATTTACATTTCTACTTCCGCTTCCGCTTCCAGTTTCAGTTCCGGTTCTGTTTCCAGCGCCAGTTCAAGCGCTAGTTCCAGCTCCAGCCCCAGTTCCAGTTCCGTCTCCGGCTCCAGCATCAACTCCAGCTCCGGCTTCAGCTCCAGCGACGGCTCCTCGACGAGCTCGGCTTCCAGCACAAGCCAGACAACCTCTTCATCAGGTGTATATGGAGGCTCTGGGTCAACCGGCTCAGCAACTGGTACCGGAACGGCGCCAACTACAAGCGAAACGCACGCCTTGGGGCAGGATTCGACAAGCAATCCCGACACACCTAAAATCGTGGGCGGTGTAGTAGGGTCAGTTGCCGGTCTCGCTCTCATTCTTTTTCTTTTATTTTACTACCTCCGCCGCCGAGGATTTCTTATGGGTAAAACGGGACGTCCCAATATGTTAGGAGACGCAGCAGCTGCGGCTGGGGCTGGGGCTGGGGCTGGGGCGGGGACTGGGATAGGGGCCGGTGCTGGGTCTAGAGAAATGGTCGAGCGGCGCGAAAGCAATGATCCGCTCTTCACGGCCAGATACCTCGCCCCTGCATTCATAAAGCGCTGGCGCCAGTCGACGGCAACAACGCGCTCTGGAAGCACTGTCGACTCTGGCTCCAGCGAGCGCGGGTTCCAGAAGATTTCCGGTAGAAAGCTTCCTCCCGTCTTCACACATGGTGGAGACGGATATGGGGCGCGGAGTAGACGGGGATTCTCCCACTGCACCAGGCTTCCCTACTCCCTCACCAGCAACCGGGCCAAGTGGATCACCCTCCTTCTATGCTCCTCCACCAACCTCGCCATATGGCGTGCCCCTGGACTCAAACTACACCCGCGAGGTCGAGGAACACACCCCACCGACACGGCCCAAACTTCCGCACCTCCCTGTCTCTAATACGGTCAACGTTTCCACTCCGATCACTGTCACACCGGCTCACCCCGTTGCGCAACCCCAGAGTGCAGTGCCGTTCCTGCCATCGCGGCCGGATGGGCTCGGCCGCAGTCTTCATAGTTTCGACGGGAGTCGAAGCAGTCGCTTTACTGAGGTCATTGATCAGTAACTGTCAATGTTGCGATATGGGACATGTGAAATGACGGAAATGAAGTGATGGGTGGGGTCGCAGGCCTTCTGTGACATTGGACTCCGGGGCTTGTCCCCGATCGTACCTTTTTATTGTTATTATTTTCTGATCTACTTCTTTATGCTGCTGTAAAAGCGCATCTACTGTCTTTGATTGTGATTTTGTCGTTATATTCTCTTTTTCACTATTGATACCCCCCATCTTTCTATTTTCTTTCTTCTTCTTCTATTTCCCTATTTCTCTTCCTTCTTGTTCAAATTCGTTTCTCTTCATTGTTTTCTCACTTACCTCTGACATTTGCGTCATTGTGGATATATTACTTCGTCTTAGTATGATACATGTATGAATCAAGACCTAAACACTATCAGCTCGGATAATCAAGATAATCTAAAGTCATCGAGCTTCGCACATGAAACGTCACGCATTCTCCATACGTATAGATAGCTTCTGCCAAGAGGAATCAGTCAAGTCTTGGACTGGTCACTACATGTAACTGACACAAGTGTAACACCTTGCCTTGGGCACGGATTCCACTGTATGGCCAACCATGCATGCTGACCACGTGGCAAGACCAATATCAAGGACTGCATCATCTGACATGTCAGACGTCCACCTTGTTGCTGTCTGAGACTAGCTACTCCTGCAGTTGGATTAGATATTTCCGTATGCTTGATGACTTGAACGAGATTATTCCTCGGCGTCGAAAAAACCAGCCGTACTTCCAAAGAAAACACTTCCAAGCATTAAATCGAAGGCCGAACTTTGATGACATACATTTGGAAGCAGCCGCAGGTACTGCTCAGCATTTGTGTCAGATGAGGCTTAGGATATTGTCTTTGCTCAACTGAATTCGCACATACGCGTCCTGACTCCTGAGACCAAAATCGGGCTGTACTGCTTCTGCCTAGCTACTCAAGAGCCTCGGAGTAGCCCCTTTCTTGATGTGAGTCTGCCCATTATGAATGCCACCTATCGCACTGCCCTTACCAAGTTACTTCTTGCCTCCCGGGTAATAGAGCTCATGAACCTCCAGCCACAGTATGAGGCGACCGCCACATATTTTAAGCACCGCCACAATACTCCACGAAAGCTATCCCTGTCCGCCCCTTTCACCTAGAAACCTCAACAAATTACTACCTAGGTAATGAGTTGCGAAAGTAATAATAATCATTTCTCTCGTGTGCTTGATAGGTTCTGACAGCGGCGCCGCGTATTCATGATGCGCACAGTCTAGCCGCTCATCAAGTGGACACCTACCCCATCTCCAGCAACCTAGAACAGACACCATGACGCCAAGAGACTCGTCTTTGCCTCCTTACTTGCGCTCATGGCCAAACAATAATGCCAATATGTCGGGGTGAGAATGTGCCAAATGATTGGGTCATCTCCGAGGCGCAGCAGCTGTTGGCCCTATCCACAATGAATGCGCAACGCCCTCGCATTGGATACCTGCGCTTGGCGTAACGCTATTCGACGGCTGCTGATCCCATCGTTTCGCCATTCATGTAGCATGGATATGAAGAATTGTGGCATAGTTACAGAAAAGAAGCCCAGCGCTTATATTCTTCAGCTTTTCAGGTATGGATGCCTATGAACTTCGCCCTCCCCTATAACCTGACACTGCCGCTACATCATACACGGAGCTCCGTGATCAAGATAACCGCTTGCAACCTCCGAAGGGGGCTGTGTCAGTGCCGTACGGGGTAATAAGTGACACAACCTGGCACCACTTCAAGAGTCTATATTATTTTACGTTTTCTGGATCGCTCCAATCTTCTTAGGTGGATAATAAAATATTCCCTCTTGTACTTGGCATCTCGACAACGCTCGTCGCGAATTGCCAGCGGAAAATTGACGAAATCCTCGGCGTCTCTGGGCATTCATCCTTGGAAGTACACAGCCCCATTGAGAGGGGAAGAGATAACAAGGTCTCGCAACCCCGGCGGCACACGAGACATTTCTTGATATCAGATCGTATTACATGAACATCTTCATGAGCCGCTTTTACATTTGATTCGCATATCCTTTTCGGAATCAACTCCGTGCGATGTCTTCTTCAAACAATGACCCCTCCTATCAGGGCTCGCTATTGAGTCCTGTTATAGTGACGGACTTTTCAGGCAGAGAGGTAGGTCACTCAAGCTATTTCATCATTATTCTATAAACATCTGGAAATTTGTCGCTGATTGTTTTATTTTCTTTCTCTTCCAGCGATCTATGTCTACAGCATCTTCCGCATGGTCGGGTCCTACAGATCTAAATCACAGCCCGACTTCTCCTGTCTCACCAGATATGGCGTGGAACCCACCAGACCCAGCTCGGCTGATGGTTCAAAATGCCTCGCATCGACTGTCACAGTCGATCGATGGCGATACATTGCGTCCGCGGGCGGACTCATTCGCTTCTTCAGCAGATACCGTAGTTCGTTCGCGGGCGAACTCCGAGGTAGACCCGGCCCATACTTCCAAAGATGTCTACGACGATGTCTCGCTGTCGGATGCTTTGAAACCGGACCCGAGGAATGAAGCCGATTTCCAGGTGGAGGATAATCGGTTTGCGTTCTCCCCGGGTCAACTAAACAAAATGCAGAACCCGAAGTCCTTGGCTGCATTCCATGCTCTTGGTGGCTTACAAGGTCTGGAGCGGGGTCTGCGAACAGATCTCAAGGCCGGTTTGTCAATAGATGAAGGGTGTCTGGAGGGCAATGTCGAGTTCCAGGATGTGGCACCTTCAGCGCAACACACATCTACGGAAAAATCCCCATCAAAACCTATCACTTCGGCGCCGGCGCCGGTTTCATCTGGTCATGGCTCACCCTTCGAAGACCGCATTCGTGTCTTCAGTCAGAACAAACTACCTGCTCGGAAGTCGACCGGGTTCCTGAAATTATTTTGGGCTGCATATAACGACAAAATTATTATATTATTGACTATTGCCGCCGTGGTCTCGCTATCCCTGGGGATATACGAGACCGTGTCAGAAGGCACAGGCGTCCAGTGGGTGGAAGGAGTCGCCATCTGTGTAGCAATTTTGATTGTTACAATCGTCACAGCTGCGAACGATTGGCAAAAAGAGAGACAATTTGCCAAACTCAATAAACGGGCAGGTCTTCCCCTATCAATCCAGAAACTGAGCACAGCTAACCTGCCAACAGAACGATGACCGTCAAGTCCAAGTCACCCGCTCAGGCAAACCCGACATGGTTTCAATCTACGATATTATGGTCGGCGATATCCTCCATCTCGAGGCAGGCGATTCCATCCCAGCAGATGGAATCTTAGTTTCAGGCTACGGGGTGAAGTGCGATGAGTCTTCCGCCACCGGCGAGTCGGATCAAATGAAGAAGACCCCTGGCCATGAAGTCTGGCAGCAAATTGTCGACGGCAAGGCAACCAAGAAACTCGACCCGTTTCTGATCTCCGGTAGCAAGGTCCTTGAAGGGTTGGGAACTTATGTTGTCACCAGTGTTGGACCCTATTCTACCTACGGACGGATCTTGTTGTCGCTGCAGACTCCTAATGACCCAACGCCGCTTCAGGTCAAGCTGGGTAAGCTGGCAGATTGGATTGGGTATTTGGGTACAGCGTGAGTTGACTTTCATACTTTCTTTCGTTGTACATGTTACTGATGGTTATCGACAGAGCTGCTGGTATTCTGTTCTTTGTTTTGCTATTCCGATTTGTCGCCGATCTGCCCAATCACCCGGAAAGGAACGGTGCTATGAAAGGAAAAGAATTTGTGGATATTCTTATTGTTGCTGTCACGGTTATTGTGGTCGCTATTCCAGGTAAGCGCTGATGTCTACAATCATCGGAGCCCTGCTGACATCCATGTTCTTTACTAGAGGGCCTTCCACTGGCAGTAACGCTGGCTTTGGCCTTCGCTACTACCCGAATGGTCAAGGAGAACAACCTAGTCCGTGTCCTCCGCGCATGCGAGACAATGGGAAATGCCACGGTCATCTGCTCTGATAAAACAGGTACATTGACACAGAACAAAATGACCGTTGTGGCCGGAACCTGGGGCTCGAATCAAAACTTCAGCCAGAGAACCGAAGATGAAGATGTGGAAGGTTCAATGACTACTTCGGCAGTCTCCCAGAAACTATCAGCTCCCATCAAAGATTTGATCATCAAGAGCATCGCTTTGAACTCGACTGCGTTTGAACGGGAAAAGGACGGCTCCATCGATTTTGTCGGTAGTAAGACCGAGGTTGCGATGCTTCAGTTGGCTAGGGATTATATGGGCATGGATCTTGTCTCGGAGCGTGGCTCCGCTGAGATCACCCAATTGATTCCTTTCGACTCCGACAGGAAGTGCATGGGTGTTGTTTACCGTGTTCCTGGAGCTGGCTACCGACTGCTTGTCAAGGGAGCGTCCGAGTTGATGGTCGGCGTCTGCACCGCAGAAATTGTCAACATTGATATTTCCAAGGAGAGACCCGATGTGGAGCAGCTTTCTGACGAACAAAAGAAAAACCTTCTGGAGATCATCGACAATTATGCCCACAAGTCTCTTCGAACGATTGGCATAGTCTACAAGGACTTCGCAAGCTGGCCACCGATCGAAGCCAAACATTCTGAGGATCCTTCAGCAAACTTCGAGGATTTCTTCCATGATATGACTTGGGTTGGAGTTGTAGGTATCCAAGACCCTCTTCGCCCCGAAGTCCCATCGGCCATTCGCAAATGTCACTCGGCAGGCGTCCAGGTCAAGATGGTGACTGGTGACAACGTTGCCACTGCCACTGCTATTGCAACTTCTTGCGGAATCAAGACGGAAGATGGATTGGTCATGGAAGGTCCCAAGTTCCGCCAACTCACAAACGAGGAGATGGATGAAGTGGTTCCGCGCCTGCAAGTGCTGGCACGATCATCCCCCGAAGACAAGCGAATCTTAGTCGAACGTCTCAAGGCCCTCGGTGAAACGGTCGCCGTGACAGGTGATGGTACCAACGACGGACCGGCTTTGCGGACTGCAGATGTCGGCTTCTCCATGGGTATTGCTGGTACTGAGGTCGCGAAGGAGGCGAGTTCGATTATTCTCCTGGATGATAATTTCAAGTCCATCATCACAGCGATCGCTTGGGGACGAGCTGTTAATGACGCCGTTGCCAAGTTTTTGCAATTCCAAGTCACGGTCAATATCACGGCCGTGATCCTCACTTTTGTGTCATCTGTGTACAGCAGTGAGAACACCAGTGTTTTGACAGCTGTGCAGCTGCTCTGGGTGAACCTGATCATGGACACATTCGCCGCTCTCGCCTTGTAAGTTGTCGTGTTTTTCCTTTTATATTTCGCCTGGACCTCTCGCTAACGTTTTGGAAAATCAGAGCCACGGATGCCCCGACTGAAAAGATTCTCGACCGCAAGCCTGTCTCCAAACACGCCTCCCTCTTCACAATGACCATGTGGAAGATGATCCTTGGCCAAGCAGTCTACCAGCTAGCCATCACGTTCATGCTTTATTTCGCAGGCGAAAAGCTCCTCAACGCCCATCTCAGCTCCGAGCCCGAGATGCGCGCGAAACAACTCTCGACCGTGGTGTTCAACACGTTCGTGTGGATGCAGATCTTCAACGAATTCAACAATCGCCGCCTCGACAACAAGTTCAATATCTTCGAGGGCATGTTCCGCAATTACTGGTTCTTAGGAATCAACGCCATCATGATCGGTGGCCAGATCATGATCGTCTTCGTGGGCGGCCAGGCATTCAACGTGACTCGCTTAAACGGCACCCTCTGGGGCGTGTGTTTGATCTGTTCTATTGCCTGCTTGCCTTGGGCTATCGTGCTCCGACTTATCCCAGACTACTATTTCGGGCTTGTTTTCAATGCCGCTGTTGGCGGTATGGCTGTTGTTTTGCGCCCGCTTTCCAAGGGGTGCAAGGTAATCGGTCGAGGCATCAGGTCTTTCTTTAGGCCTGTGAAGCGTTTCACTCGCCGTATTTTCAACAAGCGGAAGTCAGAAGATGAACTCGAGTTGAAACCAAAGTCTACTGATCCTGAAGAAGCTCCTGAGAGACTACAACTGAACACGCAAAAGCCCTCTCCTGAGCGTCTGGCCACGCCTACTCCTGTCGTCATTCCCCCTATCACGATTACTACGTCTCCTTAGCTGTCATTTTAGCGTTTGTGTTATTAGCGTTGGGCTGGCTGTTTGATATTTTATTGTGTTATTTGTACAAAAAAACACTGGGTTCGATAGAAGATGTGTCTATATATCTTATTCAACGAGAGTATCTAAATACGATCATGGGCTACCGTACCCCTAAGTATAAGACGTATTTCTCGCTAGATCCTAGTATGTAATCCCAAAAACTAACTTCCTTCTATAAGCCTACCTAAATACGAAGTAACTAGATTTCGGCACAACCCACGACCCAACCCAGCCCAGCCCACTTTGGGTCTTGGGTCCAATTCTATGCTGTACCCCAATATGGGTTGTACCTAGAATACATGATTTATGCAATTCTACCCAGTATCCTAGTATCAGATCTTAGCACTCTCCCAATATATATTGAAGATTTATTTAACCCCTGCCTGACTTTTCAGATGCACATTCCTAATTGGGTAACTACCCTGTTTCTGCCTATCCCTCTTCACACCGCCTTTTACTTTATACACCGCTTTCGTGTCGAACTCCCTATGCCATGACATTAGGTACCTGCAATTTGTATGTAAGCCACTAACAAAATTAAGTCACTTTTGTCATATCAATACTTCATCAACTACTTCATCAACTACTTCATCAACTGCTCCATCAACTGCTTATTGAATATGCATTAGAATAATCATTGGAATATATTGGAATCTGCTTTTAGCTGGCCGCTCTGCAAATGGCAAGCAAACAAGACAAACAGTCAACATCACGATGATCCGTACAACTGGATCGTGACATTTAGGCGACTATACCGGCCCAGGGGGGTTGTTAACTAGAAATGGCACATTTCAGCCACGTGCCATGATTATGTAAAGATTCTATAGGAGAAGTTAGATCTCAGAGCGATCAGCTCCCACAGGCAATTACACTCATGTACATTTTTATCTGGACATTGTTGCCTTCCCATTGTTCAACCTAATCTCCCCGCTTCCGCCCACCGCACCGATATACCAAACGGAAACAGGCAGCTCCCCACAAAGCTTCCTCAACACCAAACCCATTCGACTGGCTTAGCCAAAACTTGATCGAGACCCATTGCTACACTGTTTCGCCCTCAACCAAACCCCAACCGCCACCATGTCGCAAATCAACTACCGCACCATCAACATTGACGCCCTGGACCCCGAGTCCTCGGCCAACTTCCCCATGGAATCCCTCCTCCCCGCCACACTCCCCCAACCCGCAAGTGCCAGTGACGCCGCCAATGCCGCAACACAGGTGCGCCAGATGCTGCGCGGCGGTGACCCAGAGGGCGCTCTGCGGACTGTCCTCGACACCGCGCCGCTGGGCGGCGACGACCGTGCCAAGGAGGTGCATCTTGCTACCGTTATCGATGTGCTGCAGGGTATCCGGCAGGGCGAGATGACACGCATCTTGGAGGGCGTGTGCAGCGGGGATGGAGGGGCTGAGCGGGCGGATTGCTTAATGAAATACCTGTACGTGGAACCGCTATTTCGATTGCCAGGAGAGGAACCGTCGGATGGAAAGTCGTGGATCTGATTGCTGATTTATTGACTACAGGTACAAGGGAATGTCCTCGGCTGCTCCCGGTAGCGGTGCCCAGTCGCCGAAGAAGCCAGTTTCGCCTCAGGATACGGGCTTCTCGCAGATCCAGGCTCGCAACTTGGGTGAAGGTGGCGGTGGCCAGCAGATGAGCGTTTTGCTGAGCTGGCACGAGAGGCTTGTGGATATTGCTGGTACTGGATCGATTGTGCGGGTCATGACTGATCGTAGGACGGTTTGAGCGGAGCAAAGAACATCGGATGGAGGTTCGTTTCTTATGATATACATTCTGACTGTTTTTGTTCTCGTCTTCCTGGTAGAGGCTTGATTTGCATTCCATACATGTCTGTAGATGATATCTCTCAAGTGTCGCTTTAAGCGTAGTTTTTACATTAGTATATTGTGACAAAATGTTGGGCCCTTTCTATTTGCCCTTTTGCTTCCATTCCTTATGGCTTATCAAAGTCACCTCCCTCGAGGATGTCCTTGAGGTTGACATCGCCGGTGCCACGCTGCAACGGCTTCGACTGGCCCTCGCCTTCTTTCCATCCAATCATGTAGATCAACCGGAATGTTGCCGGGATACCACGCGCACCTTCCTCCATATACATGGAACGATATATAGCCTCATTGGCCAACAAGACATCCCGTGAAAGCGGTGCCGATTCACGGTTCATGATGGCGTTACCCTCGCCCATCGCCTGCAAATCTTGCATGAGCGCAAAGGTATCCGGGAACTCGACCACAATGTCCTCAACATCAACAGTAAGCATCTTGAACCCAGTACGGCTCAACAAGCTCCCGACATCCTTGACATCCGCCAGAGGCGACACGTGCGGACTCACACCGCCGCGCCGCTCCATATCAGCCAGCTGCAGCGACCCGCGCAGCTCGTACAGCGTATCGCCACCGAACATGGCCGCTATAAACGGCGCATCTGGCTTCAGTATCGTGTTCACCTGTTCCAGGAGCGCGGGCAGGTCGTTGATCCAGTGGATCGAGAGCGACGATAGCACGGCGTCGAAGCTGTTCGGTGCGTACGGCAACGTCTCCAAGTCCGGAATCACATCCCGCTGAATGTTGATCTCCTTGTTAAATGGTTCGTTCTCGTCGCGGTAGAGCAGTGCGCGCGATGTCTCCACGCATGTGAGCTTCGAGATCTTGTTTGATAATGGTGGTGTGATGGTTCCTTCCGGCATGGCTGAGTCGATATTGGGGGATGTGAGAGCTCGGGCGATGTTGCAGCTGTTTGCGCCTAGATCCAGAACGTTTGGAAAGTCACGTTTAATGTCCTATTCATGGTGATAGAAGCTCTTGTCAGTTCATGTGTCCTTTTTCTACTTTTGCGCTATTTTCCGCGCTTGCTTCGTTGAGTGGCTTACCAGTAAGCGCTCGCATAGCCGCATTGCTACTTCATCTTTCAGGTAGTCGACATTCCTACTCTGTTCGACATTCCGGGCTGCCCGATCTTTTTGGAGGTGTTTGGCTTTGCGATTGAAGACCTCAAGCATTGGGTTACCGGGCGTCTGGCTGGCATATTTTCGGATAGTAATTGTCGGAGTAAAGCACCGCCTTGAGATACTGGCATGAAATGTTCGTAGGGGTATCATTGTGGCTGTGGAATGGATATGGAGGATTCTACACCCTCAAGCATGCAAGTCCATGGTTTTGCGGCGATAGCGGGCAGAAAATGGCGGGATCTGACGTCGATTGTTGATGCGGAAGAGCTCCCTCTCCGCAAACTGTGGACTTCTTGAAAATTGGCGCTTTGGAGACAGTTGGCCTGGAATTATTTCTAATTTCTACTTTGTGCATATTGACTATATTGTGCATAGTACATTGGGCGTGGCAGAGCCATTGTGACCCCCTGCTCCAACAAGTTCCCACGCGCCAACACGCTCCGCTCAGGGTCTGATTTGGCGCAACGAAGTCGGGATCCTGAAAATAAGATATTTTTACTCGAAAAGATACGCATTTGCTATCAGTCAACTTGTTTACTTCATTACAAAGCTTTCGACCCCACAGAGACGAGTCATGATTTGACCCAAGTACACACCTCGAAAGCTACCACATAACTCGCTCGCTCCTCCACGTCAATATCAAAATGTCACGTCCTTTTCCATATACATACATATCATGCCCCTGCGCCGATACCCCGGTCCCCGATCCAGCTAGGAAGCGAAGGTCGAGGGAGTCCACGCAGAAACCACCACCCGAGCAAGCGAATACAGACCAGGACAAGAAATTGCCAGCAAAAGACGAACAAGAAGAAGAGGACGAAGATGAAGAGCAAACATTTGATCCCCGCTCTCCACGGTCCAACTTCTCGCTGTATCCGCCTGAACAGCTTCTCTACTGCGAGGAGTGTCACCAGATCAAATGCCCCCGATGTATCACGGAGGAGATTGTGAGCTGGTATTGTCCTAGCTGCTTGTTTGAAACGCCGAGCAGTATGGTGCGGAGTGATGGCAATCGGTATGTACTAGGGTGTAAAGGGTTGTGTTCGACTATCCGCTAACACGCACTAGGTGTGGCCGAAATTGCTTCAATTGTCCTGTCTGTACGGCTCCGCTGGCTGTGAGTACCATTGAGAATGCCACCGGGAACGGGCCTCAACAGGGTCCGTGGGTGTTGTCTTGCGGATACTGTCTTTGGACAACACTAGACATCGGCATCAAATTCGACAAACCGACTAATATCCGCAGCCAACTGCAAAAGATGACAGATTCCACTGCCCCTGCTTTTTTCGACCGCTCGAGGCAAGCTTCTCGCTCTTATGGAGATCTGAAACATCCGTTGTCTAGCTACGCCTCTATTGATGGGCAATCCAATGCGAGCGAGCGAGATGGAGAGCAAGCTGCATCAAAAGAAGACCCGGCTGCACCTCCAATGGGCACGGATGCCCGGTTCGCAGCCCTGAAGAACTTCTATCGTACACAAATCGCGGAGACATCAAATTCGGCAAATGATCGTCTTAGCTCGGAATTTGGATTCTCTTCGCCAGGCGCCCTAAACCGGCTTATGTCTCTGTATACGACCTCGTCGCGTCTAAGCGGACTGTATGGCGGCAACAAGAAGCCCAAATCCAAGCCACCTGTTATGCGCGAAGCTCTGACTGCAAGCGAGGGCCTTCTGATCGCTTCAGAAAACAACGAGACGGACATTATTGCACGACTTCAGTCTCCAGAATGTGGCTGGGATGGCATGGCTTCAATAGACCAGCGCGCAACCCAATCACCGGACGCCCGCTTCGTTGACGATCTCCTCCCACTCCCAGTCCTTCTCCGCACCAAGCGAGCCAAGCGCTGCAAGTCCTGCAAGCACATCCTCGTGAAGCCCGAGAGCAAGCCGCAATCTACTCGCTTCCGCATCCGCCTCATTGCCCTCAGCTACATCCCCCTTCCAACCCTCCGCCCTCTAGCCCTCTCTTCCACGTCAGCCCTCCCAGCCAT